AGAGCTGAAGGTCTCATATGAGACTGGAGGTTCGCCATTATTATTGTGGATGGTTCGGCATTGCTTTGGAAAGTTTTGCTGACTATTCATGCAAAAGTTGGTTTGCTGGTAAACCGATTTCATCTATACTGATGGTTTGACTGTCGTGTAAGCGGAATAGTTCAACTTTGGCCTGTTCGTTCTGTACATAATTGATTCACGCGATCATTGATAGTCCACCAGGGTGCTTGGTACCTGTGTGGTTGCGCCACACGATTGAGCTGTACTATTCAGATTGTAGCGTTAAAGCCTATAAGGTGTCTGGTTCTCCTGTTAAACGGGGCTGAGCTGTACTTTTTGGGTTGTCACGTGAAAGTCCGGATGGTGTCTGGTTCTCCTGAAAACCAATGTAAAATTACCCTGGCCCACAAGGGTATATTACATAATTGTGAGTGAAAGTATCAGAAGAATGATGAAAACTCCATGAACAAACCATCCAGTTTAGAGAATAAAACTACATCAAAATCATTCACCTGAAATACAAATCTTCTCCATCATCTCAACATAAGTTTATGTAAGTTTGACCATTATTGAAAAACTAAAAACACTGAATAGCTTATTCGTCTCAGTATGGGAATCTCAAGCAGTGTGTATCTATGATTCCTCACATGGCATTCGAGAAGCCGTGATCATTGGAGTCCAATTCGTGTTATGTATTAGACAGTTATCCATCTCAGATAAAGGATGAAGGATTGTGTAAGATCATGAATCGGTTAAAGTCAGATACTGACACAGTTGATCACCGGCTCAGTGGTCCACAGATGAAGTGTTCATGAGTGACATTGAACGTCCTAGGTTCGAGTCCTGTGTATGGGACTTGGATGCGCATTGCTGAAGAGTTTCATACTAAGACGAAACGGGCCTTCAGTGTTTATAGGTCTTCAATGGTCGTCTAGCACAATCGACTCATGAATTCAACTATTAAAATATCAAATTAGTAAATATTACATTTATGAGTAAAACTATAACGATGAGTTAATAAAATTTAAGATTTTTGTGAGAAATTCAATATTCAATGAAGGTCAGGACTAAGAGACAATTACTTTTATCTAGTTCTTAAAATACTTAAAACCAAAGAAAAAAAGGATATTTCTTGCGTAACCATACAATGAATTTGTTATGGTGTACATGTTCAATGATTAAAAAGAATTCCTGATTCAAGATACATTGTAGATTCATTTATGTAGTTCAGTGCATTATTTACTAATGAATAAAATGCATTGGATTAATTCAATGAAATATCTTAAACATAGTTCTTAACTTTAACGGTGGCTCAATATCGTGGATTGGTTGGAGCTAGACATTAACACCGTTGGATGGCAACTAAATGGTCTAGATGTTTAAAGTCGACGCGTGAGGCCGAAGGCCCTGGGTTAGAGTCTCTCGTATGGGATCGTGAATGAACACTACTGAGGAGTCCCATACTAGAACAACACGGTCGTCCAGTGTTTATAGATTTTCAGTGGCGGTCTAACAGAGATCCATTCATGATATTTATTTACTTAGTTAATCGAACGCAATCCATAGAAATTTGTATTTTGACATTCTTCAGATAGATATATTTGTGTAAAGTTGAGGAAGTTATTCCGTTGATCCAATTCAAGTTTATTTTATTCATCATCATCATCACATCAGAGATACCATCAATGAATTGTTATTCAGAAGGCTAATAACTTCATGCAAGACTGGGATTTTCATAGTAATTACTCACTTATTTAGTAGTAATCAATGTTGTACTGTCATATGGATTGGAATCTCAGGTGAAAGACAAAATCTCTTGACAAATGACCTCAAATAAAAAAACATCAAGTGTTATTTACTTTGATGCTTAATTCATACATTCACAGACAATTCAGAGATTGAACGTAAGAAGTTCAGACCTCACAGTGATCGCTGAGTATGAATACAATAGATCGTATTTTTAATTTATGATTCAAATGTAAATTTCATCTGAAGTTATTGAAGAATTTCTGTTCATCTTATTGAATTATTCCATTAAGATTCATATTTTAAAAAAAGATAATGCTATAGTCTGAATTATTTTTTCTGGTTAGCGTTGGAATCCTGAAGGGAAGCAGAAAAGAGGAAAGCCAGGGAACGCATTACTTCGGGAAATAGAATCAAATATGAAAAGGATGAATAACAGCTGGGAAGAGCTGGAAAGGAGTGCCCAGGACATGGTTGGATGGAGAGTACAGGTGGGCGGCCTATGCTCCTCAATGAGGAGTGACAAGCGTAAGTAAGTAAGTAAGTAATGCTATAGTTCGAAGTGAATGAATTCGAATTCTAATTGAATGGTTAATGCAAATTTTGTTATGTTTCGAGTTATGAAAGTTCTTAACCATCTAGGGTCAACAGTGAAAAATAGTGAACAGGCTCAAATGACAGTTGAATAATTATTCAGAGTTAGTTAATTTTTTTTCACTGTTTCTTCAAGTGATTTCATATCCTGATGAAAATTACTATAAGATTTAACTTGGTAACACGTTTAAAATGTATCTACAATATGTAACTAGTAAATATAAACAGTGTAGTCAATTAAAGTGAACAATACCGAACTATTGATATATAACACTTTAATAATAAGTAGAAGTTCCGTGATTTCTAGATTAATCATAGAACAAACAGCTAAGAGGTGACTCAGTGTTGAACTTATTGCAACTCTATCAGTTTGTCTATAGAAATAATTAGTAAAACTGAATGAGACAGTGAGAGTACATCGTAGAATTAGCTCTTTCAGATAAGGTGTTTGTTTTTTAATTCTCTCTTTAGAAATGTTTATAAATGTGGCTAAATTGAAGATAATAACTTTTTGTCTCGAAAACATTATCTGAATGGAGTAACTTCTACAATATACTTTCAATGTACAATTCAGATTTAATAATGATTTTTATAGAGTAAAAGTTCCACGTTATCCTAATTACTTTAGATTGGTATAATGAATGGATCACTGTTAGACTACCATTAAAAACCTGGAAGTACTGGATGGACATTTCGTCCTAGTATGAAACTTTTCATCAGTGAGCATCCACGACTCAAAATGTTGGAATTGAACCCAAGACCTCCAGTCTAGGACGTGAAGCCTAAATTTATAGACTTGATTCATTTTAAAATGAACTTACCGAACAGCATAATTTGGATGACTTTAAATCTTTATGACTCTGTGAGGAATTACAATCTTCTTGATAATATTTATTCATCTCATCATATTTACGTTTTAAATTATCTGAGAAGAGTTGTAATTCCGTTATTCCCTCTCCTGTTCCTCCGGCTAATCCAGATATTCTATCGAAAACAGATGTAGTTAGTGTTGAATACGGTAATGATTGACTTGATTTGAATGTTGATGTTGTTGTCATCATCGTCGTTGTCGTCTTCGTGTTGGTGGTATCAATGATTACTGATGGTGTTCCTACTAACGGAGATGATAATCCTGATGTTAATGATGATGTTGGCTTTGATGACAATGATATAACTGTTACTGTTGAAGATGGTAAAGTAAAGGAATTATTTGTTGAAGATGACATTTCATTTATATCGTGTAATCTGTCAGTTTTATCCATAAATTGTTGTTGTCTTTGATGTTGACGTTGAAATTCCATAGAATGATTATTTTGTATTTTGTTGAAAGAATATTCAATTGATGAGGAGGAAGAGGATGATGACGAGGATGACGATGATGATGATTTAGATATCTTTGGACAGTAATGTACTGTATGTTGACTTCGTGGTAAATTTGTTGATATCAACTTTGAATTCAATGATGTTGGATCAAAATATCCTATTGAAATGAAATGTTTAAGAATGAATTAAGTTTCTTTTAATAGATAGTATTATTAGTAGTGTGCAATGGTAGATGTATTAATAATTGGACAAATATAAAAATATCATTGATGAGCATTGATACAAAATGAATGAAAATGAAGGTGTTTGATTTTTATGGTTCAGATCATGGACTAATCATTTAGATAACTATTAGCAAAATGGAAGCATTAGAGATCTGTTTCATCCCAATACACTGCTACTCATCAATGAGCATCTACAACTTCTACTCAGTAGTACAAAGTTTATGAGCTGTTCATGAAGCTTAAATGTTCGGGTTTCTATCTCCGATGAGACTACAATTTGTGGATGACCTTTTAATGAGGATAAAGTAAACTTGAGGAAAATCACCTATTTACTAGTGTCAAAAAAGAGTATAAATTTATGAGGAATTAAGATTGGGATATACAGTTAGAATTAGGGATTGAATTCAGAGTTTAGGTTCTCATCACGAACTGATATTAGTTATAATGCCAAAGTGCCATTTAATCATATGAACGAATGAACTTCACATTGAAATCCAAGATTTGTTATTTTTAATTTCATCTGTCCATTCATAAATTATAATCTTATCCTATCTCCGGTAGTGGGATCATAAATGGGTACTAGTGACGAGTCCTTTACTGGGACAAAACAGTTTCCCGCTGATTCGCGGTTTTCAACCTAACCTCAAATTTAACAAAATGTTTGGTTGGAATAGTAAATTGTGAATTGATCTGGCAACCAACTACAGTAGTCATTGAATGAAATGAGAATAACATGATGTATTTTTGACAGTGGTTTATCTATCGTATAATCCATACTTACTGGAATTTACAAATGATTAATCACTGAGCGATGAGTAATGTTATATCTGTCTAGTCCTTAATAATGATTTAATTCTATCGACCATTATGTGATAAAGTTACTAGGTTAAGTTACTCGATGTTGCATTCCCTACGCTGAGATGTTAGCAGATTCAAGATAGTCTACAGACAATCCTAGACTTAACTCTGGTCGGATTAATTATCTGGTGGTCACACTGCAACCTCGTTGACAGAATTCGATTATTATTATTGTTATTATTATTACTAAGGATTAGATAAACATGACATTGATTACCATTCAAGGATCAACTGATTTTAAATATCTCAGTCCTACAAAAGATGAATCATGGATCGACTAATTATGTGATAACTTATTAGACTTTGAGTCTAGGTGACATGAGTTGGTGTACTACAGAGAACGTCAGTTCCATCAAGATTGTAGGTATACTTCGTAGGCCAGTGCAGCAAGAACGGAATTGAGGTTAAGCATTTCTTGTCGAATACCTCCATATATTTGAAACTCTCTGAAATGCATGTATATGTCATTGATGAAACTCCTAAAAAATGATAAAATTATAATTAATTATCACCAAACAGAATTCAATTAAACTTAGGTATTAAAAAATGAATGTAACTACTCTAAGACATTAATAATACTTACCTGACCATAATGGATAAGGTAATGACAAAGATGGAGATGATAGATCTTTTGTAGTAGATAATTTATCAACTGATAAATTACAAAATGATAATGATGATAATGGTGATAAAGAATCAACTGATTTACTATTATTATTATTACTATTATGATTATTATTACCACAGTTATGTAAATTGTTGATTGAATATAATGAGAATTGATCTGATGAAGTATAAGATAAAGAGTTAGATAATCCACAAAATAATTGATTCGGTGTTGATATAATCGATGATGATGCATTACAAATGGGAGTAGAAATTGAAGAACAATGGGAAGATGAAGAACACTTTATATCTAATCCATGATTATTATTGTTATTATGTAATAATGACAATCGATTTGTATATGCTGGATGATTTATTGAATTTGGAAACGAAAACTTAATATTTTCATGTGTTTTGTATATATCAGTTGAACGTTTTCTTAACATATCCCTTTCAATACTATCTAGATCATTATAAGTATCAGTGGAATTTATTGGCTGTTTGTAACGTAATCGTAAACCTCTGTAAAGATAAAGGAAACAGTGATTGATTAGAAACGTTTATTGATATATGCAATATAATGTTAACAACAGACATCAAATTATCTGTTAGGATTTGTATGTTAATGTTATGAAACACAGTTTATCTTTATAAATAAGTTGAAATATGAATCTTGGACTGCTTTCCTCGTCTGTATTAAATTTCACTAAAAATTTGCGTTTAAATAACAATATCAAGACATTTCACTGAGAATCCCCATATCCAAACAAAGACTAATTATGAGTCAATTGAAGCTAGATAACCATGGAAAACCTGAAAGCACTGGACAACCGCCTTGTCCTAGTACGGGACTACCCAGCAGTGCGCATTCACGACCCCACCCAGCGAGACTCGAACCCGGGACCTACCAGTCTCGCGCGCGAGTGCTTACCCTCTATACCATTGAGCCGGCTGGCGTCCAGCGGTGTTGATGTATAACTTCAACCAATCTAGGAAATTGAGCAACACATCCACTATTGTCATCAGAGAGTTACAGTCTCACAACTGACCCGGTTGAACTCCACTGGTCACTGCTTCTCACTAGAACTCCAGGATATACATCTTGAAACCAGTCACTAGTGATCTATATTGATTAGTTCCACAATAGGACGAAACGGTCGTCCAGTGCTGCCATGTTTTTTATGGTGGTCTAGCTTCGATTGAATCATAATCTCAACTATTGAAATTACTACAATCTCTACAAAACCCCTTCAAAGACTGATTAGTTACAGTCCTTAACAGTAACAATGGGAAAATACAATGCGTCAGAAAAATAATTCATACCAGTTGTACAAACTAGTGAAGTTGGCTTCTGAAACTAAAAATTCTGGGTTTAATCTTAGTGTGAGCGTCAACACTGAGATTCAGTTACAGCTGATTAAGGAGTTTCAAATAGGATGAAATTTTCTTCCTGGATTACACTGCTAGCTGTTATTCAAATAGGTAATTTTGTAAATATTTATCTAATTTCATAAGGAAGCTGGTCTACATTGTAAAATCGATGTCAATTCAGGGAATCATTGTAAACTAGAGAGAACATCATAGTTAACTTCTTAACAATAAATACACATGCTTATATAGTGGATTGTGGTGTTGAATATCGTTGCTTCAGATAACTTAACTAAAACTATATACATAGATGCAAATCACTTTGACTATCTGATTTTCAAAAATTGATAACTACTAAGAGTGGTGTTTAACACACTTCATGTTCGGTGTAAATTTCAATTAAGTTTCAGAAGGGGTTTTGTGGAGGTTTTAGTAATTTCAGTCGTTGAGATTACGAGTCAATCGAAGCTAGACCACCATGGAAAACCTCGAAGCACCGGACAGCCGTTTCGTCTTAGTATGGGACTCCTTAGCAGTGCTCATCCACGATCCCGCCGCCCGCTAGATTCGAACACAGGACATATCAGTCTCACGCGCGAGCGCTTAAGTTTCAGTCAATCAAGCAAAAAATAATAATAACTCACGATGTTAAATAGAGTTCGACAGTGACTAATAGTAAAATCCAGGAAGTGCATTTTGTCATATTTAGGACTTATCAGCTGGATGTACTTGCTGCATCCCAGTGAAACTTGATCCTGATAAGTTCCACTTCAAATACTTATTGTGTTACCTACCGAGCTATTGAGTTCAGACAATCACAGGATTATGCAACAGGACTCGTTTCCGATTGTTTCGTAACGGTTTTTTTTCACATTTTCTCGTTGTTGTTGTTGTTAAGGACTGAAATCGATCAGTCATATTTTTGGTATGTATGCATCCGGTGTGGATGGCTTCAATGTTGTAATCAAATCATGAGTACTTAAAAAAAGTAGATTTGGATTAATTTTACAATTATAATAAAACAATCATGAAATATCAGAAGGGGATTTTGTGGGATTTTAGTAATTTTATAGTTGAATTCATGAGTCAATTGAAGTTAGACCACCATGGAAAACCTATAAGCATTGGATGGCCGTTTCTTTCTAATGTGAGACTCCTCAACAGTGCACATCCACAATCCAATGGTAAACGATGGCTCAATTTGATGAATTGGTTGAAGTTAGACTCTAATACCGTTAGATACCGGCTCAGTGGTCTAGAGATTAAGCATTCGCGCGCGAGAATAATAAGTCCTGGATTCAAATCTCGTGGGACGGGTTCGTGGATGCCCACTGCTGAGTTCGTTTTATTTATTTAATTTTTAATTGAATAAGTTAATTGAATTCGAAATTTTATGAATTGATTATTAAAAATAAATTTTCGAAGTCATCATAAATAAGACTCTGGTCAGAAAATAATTATAACCAATGTGTACTTTATACTTTCCAACTGACATGAGTTTATGATAGGCATTTTATCCTTTGAAACAGCTATCCAATGTTCTTTTTTTTGTATTTTTCATGGTACTCGAATTGTGAACAGTTTAGCATAGTAACTAATTACAATTTTTCATAAAATCCCTTCAAAGGGATTTGTTGAGTTGTATAGATTTATTCAATTTGTAGTGGATTGAAATCATTGTCATATCAAAAATTTCTTTATATGGTTGAATATTTAAATAAATAAATCTCAACTTAGTGATGTAATAGTAACCTGTTTGCCAAAAAAAAACGTATTAATACTGGATTGGATACATGTATGTTTACCATTGAGGATTCCCATAATAAGATGAAATAATTATCTAACAATCTCGGTGTAAATTGTGTTGTACCTCTACCATCCCCCCCTCTTCACAACCAGAAGGAAGAAATTGTTTAAGAATTACAAGTATTAAGTTATTAATTGGTGGATTCAGTTCAATTAGGTTCAAAATCCAATTTAATTATTTAGATTTTGATAACCAGATTGTGGAATTAATCGTCAAGCATGCATAAAGCTCAATGCTCAATATAATGACTTGTGTTTAGTAAATGTGATACATTCATAAAATTGTAATATAAATTGAATTAAAATGGTATTTTTCAGAATAATTTATTCTTATTAAAAGAGGCTTGTTGAGTTTGTTCAATTTTCAAAGTTTACACCATGAACTAATCTTAGTTTGATAATTATTGAAAATCAAGAAGTAATGAACTGCTGTTTTATCTAAGTACGGAAAGTTTTATCAGTCTGCATCGATGATGTACAACGATTCAAACTCAGTACCTTCGGTTCTGCGTTGGAATGCCTAAACTTTAGACCATTGAAATAGTATCTAATGGTATACATTTGTAAGTTTGGTAAATCGGTGATATTGCGTTATCATCTATTTATTGCAATGAATGACTGTTTCATACCTTACGTAGTTGAACTCCATTAGTCACTTTTACTCGCTGGAACTTCGGGAATTTCATTTTGAAGTTGGTCACTAGTCAGTACATAATTTTTATTGGTCTAGTAGGCATTGTGAGGATTTATATATTTATTTAAAAACATAAACATTGGTACAAGGAAGCACCAAATACATATGCGCTGAAATACTGACCGGGTTTCCAAAGAGAAGCTGGTAGTTTCCTCAGAGGAACACTCTCAGAGCCTTTGACCTAAAGGTCTAATCCACAAGGCAGTGAAGCAATATCAGAAGATGCAGTCCCGATGACTAACAATAAGTTCGTATGCAATTCATTCCAACGGATCCTGGAGCCCATGTGCACCATCGGTTTGAAATTAGGGTTTTTCAACTGCCCTAGTTGATTCCCCTATGTCCACCAACCCGACTAAAGAGCCGGACATCCGCTTTTCATCCTTTCAACTTCTTAAACAACAATAATAGCACGAGAAGGCAGTGAGTATGACTTCTCTGACAGTGGCTGTATACGCGTGGCCTTATGAGAGCATTTGGAGAGGGAGAGCTGACTCTCTCCACCCTCGATCGTACTAGAGCATTTAAGGAAGATTAATGAATTTTAATAATTTAAATTACAGACTGGTGAGATCGTGGATGAAAACTGCTAAGAAGTCCCATACTAGGACGAGACGGTCATCTAATGCTTCCAGGTTTCCAACGGTAATCTAACATCAATCAGTTCATGATCTCAATCAAAAACTTAATAATCTCCACAATACCTATACTGAATACTGACCTTAGTTAGATGATACCTTAGCATTCATGGTGAGACTGAAAGTTTTAAATGGGTTCAAAAATATCTACTACTTAAAAGTCCTATACTTGAATAAGATATTTGTTCATTGTTTCCAGGTTTTTACTAGTTAACTAATAATGATCAATTCATAGTGAAAAATATAAATAATTCATTTCTTAATTATCAAATTAGTATTAATATTTAATTCAATTTTTAAATGAATTGTATTTATTAAGTTATATATATATAATGATGTTAATAATATAATACAATACAATTCAGTGATTGTACTCTTCAAGTGGTATCGTTTTTGGCTTTGTTTAAATAATAATACTACTAACAATACTACTACTACTACTACTAACAATAACAATACTATTAACAATAGTAATAGTAATAATGAACGATAAAAACATAAGAATTAAGGTGTGGTATAATCTATTCTTTAATCTTAAATAGAAAGATTATCAATTCCGCCTATTATAAATAAATGATTATGTAGTTCAATCAGAAGTATCAGATTATGTCATTCAGATATGAAATCAAATTTAAAGAGAGAAAAAAGAAAGAAAAGAAAACTTCCGAATATGAATAACATTGAATAGAGGAAATATATTTAGTAAATACTATCTATCATTGGATTTGTATACATTTCCAAGAATTAAGGGCGTTCTTGTTCTTTTTTGTTAGCAAATGATATTGAAGAGATTTGTTTTTGTTTTTTCTAACTGATGTGACTTAATTTTATCGCTTTGATCAGTCAGTAACAATGTAGAAATTCGTACGTACGTATATCAGTTCGAGTTGACATACCACATTAGCACAGAAATACAATTGTCCATTCAAATCCGATGGTGGTCGAGATAGTAAAGTACAAGCAGTAATCGGAAATATGAGGGTTTGAAGATGTTATTCAGGGAGTATAATCCAGTGAGATAAATTTGGAAAGTGAAAAAAATAGGGTACATGAAGAATTCAGAAGATTATAATTTGGGAGAACACAAAGAGTGGATGCACCTGCACCATTGCAAACAATTTTAAGTCATGTCATCCAAACCATATGAAGAACTTAATACTCTGATCCCACTGATCTGACATCAACAGTTCATATTCCGAAGTTTACTTAATCAATGTTATTGTTTTACGGGGAACTATCGTTATGAATAAATAAATCCTTTACCATTGAAATCAATGAAATCTACTGATCATAGCTTTGCGATGGAGATATTCAAATTCCTATTGAAGTTAGAATGCATTTTATATTGTTTGTTTGAATCTTTCCATTGATTTTAGGAACAACAATTAATCAGTCTTTTATTGGCATATGTGCATCCTGTGTGGACCGCTTTGATATTGCTTTAAGTCACATGGATTATAAACAGTGTTTAGATAGTGGTTAACAGTGAAATCCAGGACGTGAGTTCCACCCTGTTTGGAACTTGCCAACCGAATGTACCTGCATCCAACAATTGATGTTCACTCCGAGACTAGAAATCAGTACCGTTCGCTTCAGGCGCCATTACATTATTGACTGAGCTATTGAGTCCAGATAGCCACTAGCTTGTGAAATAGGGTGTAGGTACATCCAGCTGACTAGTCCCAAATAGGATGAAACCCGTGTCCTGGATTCTATTGTTACCACCATCCATCTGTACTTATAATACTTCTTGAACCTAGTCATTCCTTCGCATATAAATGTTAATACAACGCATCATAAGCGCATATCAAAACTAAAATCAATGATACATATAGACTGAATACATATTAAAACAAAGGGTTGACTTACTTCTTTTCACGACGCCCACTACCATTGTCTCGAAATCCTTTAGCAAATGGATTATTATCAATTTTTAATTGAGTGATCTAAAAGAAAACAGAAAATAGACCAATAAAATGCATATACAAAATTAATAATGAAAATAATAGTGTGGTGTATACTACTTATGTCAGCATAAGTAGTGAGTTCGATAACTGTCTCCACCCAACACTAGTTCAAACGAAACATGAAAATGTACATCCAAAAACAAACGTTTCAAAAGTTTGAAACAGGTTACCTTGATAAGGTGACAAATTTGATTAGTAGAATTTGGTTATGAAACTCACTTGATAACCAATGAAAGAAAGTTTATGATAGATTTTACAAACAACGTTTTTAATTGACAGATTGCCTTTAAAACAAAACAAAATGAAGATATTTAAGTGAAAAAAATTCTCTTCACCATGATATCACTTACTAGAGTTGTGCATTAGTGTTTATGGGTTTCTTTTTACATCTAATGGTTGGTAATAAAAACAGAGAATGATCGCATCAATAACAGAGGTTCTAAAAGTTAGTCAGAATTTAAAGTTATATCATAGTTGAACAGTAATAAGATTACACTAACATACAGGAAAGAGATTTGAAAGATAATTATCTACGCTTGATGATTATAGATAGATGAAGAAGAAGAAGAAGAAAACAAACACGTGTCAAGAAATAAGTAACAGAATATGAAGGTATATTATTAAAACTATAGTTCATTAAGTGATTGGATATACTAATTCTAAACACAAAGATCAAGTCTGAATCAATTAGTCACCAAAACCTCCATTATGCATAAGTTTCCTATTCGATTTCCTTTCGAACAAGGTCATCATTAAAGATTTTTTTTCAAATAATGTTAAGTAAGATTTTTATCTTATTCAACTTATGTATTCAATATTCAATAGGAAGAACCAATTTTAACTGAGGTTTCGTGTTAATTAGTACTCGTCAACACTTCTGTAAAAACTAGTTGATATTCTATGAGAATTCTAGCCCTAGTAATCTATTATCACATCAAAGATGTTACTATTACGACCAATGTTGTGTTCATCTAATCCTTCAATGATAATTAAATATTATCAGTCAATTTATAGTATGAACATAAGTCTAAATGATTTAAGATTGCCTGTATTATATTAAGATGTTAGATAGTTAAAGATACTCAAAAGAAACTGTGTTGTTTATACTAGTTTATATTCGTTAGTATAGTATACCTGTGATCTTAAGCGAACTGATGATCTCTAATAGATTCAAATACTTTTTACCTAATCACTTAGTTATTTTTACTACTACATAGATATTTACTGATATTTACCATGTGTTAACTAGTAACTAGCTATGTGAAGGAATTCTTGGAGTTCTAGTGAGAAGTCGTGATCAGTGGAGTTAATCCATGTCGGATAGAGACAGGTATCTACCATAGTACAATGGAAGATGGTCGCGTAATTTCGTAAATTGGTTGAAGTTAGACATTAACACCATTGGATGCCGGCCGTCTCAGTGGTCGAGTAGGTTAAACGTTCGTGCGTAAGACTGAAGGCTCTCGATTCGAATCCCGCGCACTACTGAAGAGGACAAGGAAGAAACAGCCGTTTAGTGCATCCAGGTTTCCAATGATGGTCTAACATCAATCGGTTCATGACCTCGATTACAATCAATATTTTTTTTTTCATAATTAATAGATGTAATTGTTTATCATGTGGTTTTTTTAAAAAAAATATGACCATCGTATTAACTTAGATTTTTATACTGATTCTCATTTGTCGGTAAGTCATTTTTTCCTTTTTTTTAGAAAAAGAAAAGTAAAGAAGAGAAAACTAGTCCAACCGTTTCATTTTAAATTCTTACATTAAAAAACAACAACAACAACATCAGATTATCAAAATGAAGGTGTTCTCTTCAAACAAGAAAAGCAACAAAAAAATTGTCAAAATAATAATAAAAAAATGAATGAACTTTATCGAGAAAAAGAAAAGAAAAAAGAGAGAAAAAAGAAAGAAAAAGAAGAGAAAAATATATAATTATTTATTCTGATAAGAATTTTCCTGTCTACATAGTTATTTATGAAACATGAATCTTCAATTGTAAATATTTATTTATTTATTTATATGTGGGTGTCATGTGATGATGTGATGTGATGTGGGGGCGTGTGTGTGTTTTAGGTGTTAAGATCAACGTTCAAAAACAAGAACAAACAAAAAAAGAAGAAAAACTATTCATGATAAATATTCAACAAACACGTGTTTACCAAAAAAAATTTTTTCTTTTTTTTCAAGACAAAAAAAGAAAAAAATGGTAACTGGAATAGATAATAATAATAATATAATTATTATTATTATTATTATCATATGATTATCTAGAATACGGGTTATTTGAAGTGAACGAATACATTTCACTAGACCATTTATGAACGATAATATTTACATGTGTGTGTATTAAGTGGTGAATAGGGTATACATGAGCACGTGTGTGCGAGTATGTGGTTGTGTCTGTGTGTATGTACGTAAACGTGTACTTGTAAGTGTACGTGTACAGTAAAAGTAAATGTGTTTAAAAATATTCACCTTTTCAATGGATTTAATTCTTATTTAAAAGGATATTATTATTGTAACATTTGATGTTGAGTTTTTTGTAGAACGATAATGTAATATATATGAGAAGGGGTTTATGGAGATTTTAGTAATTTCACTGATTGAAATCATGAGTCAATTGAAGCTAGACCACCATGGAAAACCTGGAAGCATTAGACAGCCGTTTCATCCTAGTATGGGACTCCTCAAAAGTGCGCATCCACGATCCCGCAAGATTCGAACCCAGGATCTATCAGTCCCGCTTAACCAACTAGACCTTTGAGCCGGCATCCAATGATGTTAATGTCTAAGTTCAACCAATCCACGAAGTTGCACCACCGTACACCATCGTCTTCAGTGAGCCGATATCTCACAACAGATATATATATATATATATATTCTATATTTTTGTCTGTTCATGCTTGTTACCATTCTTTCATTTAGATGATTTATTGATTAAGCTTTCATTATTCTTCTAAATAATATAATCAGCACAAACTTTCGATCAAAATGAGAAATGACAATTTCATCAATTTTGATCGACTGAAGAAAAATTGTCGACCTTAATCTTGATTAATTATCGTGTTATTATCTTCAGATTATCTTCTCTCCTTCCTCTTTAACTTGATTATTGATCTGATATTTGTATATGATTTTACTAATTCATTACTAAACTGGATCTTTTCTAATAAAAGAATTTGAATAACTAATTTCTACCCCGAAGTTTATGCTGATAATGTTGTTTAGAAGGACGATGAAAGTGTCACAATTAAATCATTAACCTCAGAGAGAGAGAGAGAGTGGGAGAGTGACTTCACTAAAATTATTCACTTTAGCTATAAATTTTCTCTATTATATGAAAAGCTCTATATCAGTTATTTAAAAAAACAACATTAAAATTCGACTGTAGCTATGTCATACTGAACAAAGAGACAAGGGATTTCAGTTATTACACGGAGTAGATGATCAGTTGAGAACTGAATAGCTTAGTGATAATGTTTGTAATTATACAATTGGTTGGTGCAAGTTTAAATACCACTGAAAGCAATAAATCTTTCAAGTCCTAATCATCATCAAACTTAAGTTAAAAATGATTTTTCGCCATCGGTCTCTTTCAATTACCAAACACTAAAATATGGTGAACTCAGTATTAAATCAATTAGACTACTGGCCGCGTTGTAATATGATCGATAGAATTTAAACATCATTAAGAATAAGACATGCATAACATAAGTTATTACTTGGTCAGTATGTAGATTACAATATTCAACTGATTGATCAATGATTCTGTCCTATAAAATTTGCTCATTTAAAATCTAGGGATCAGTCTCGTAAAAGAAAGTGTTTCAATTATATCAATCGATCATATAATTAGACAATAAATCAATTCACCATAGAATTAAGTTAAGCGATAATCAAATTAAAATAATACTGAGGTATATTTGATGATACCATTACCAATGATCAGTTATTCAATTGTCCATACTTATTTCGAAAAATAAGATGTTAAATGATGTTAATATTAATTCTCATTTTCATCTATTTTACCTTTGAATCTTAAGCGTAGAAACACGTGTCCAGTGTTGTTACTATCCTATTTTCAAGTGTCATTCATTAATGAACAATCCAAATTATGATCAACAGTTCAACTTAATAAATTCTCGACGTTATTTTAAACAAAGAATTGATGAATGATTGTACACAAATATACTATATGATTATTAACATATGGTTTTTTTTATTGTGTAAGTTATTAATGGTAAAATTTTAATTCAAATATTCAATCCAATAATTTTTTTTATTTTCCCGGGTTCCAGTCCCTCGTAGGGGATCGTTGATACGCACCGTTGAGGATTCTCATACTAGGACAAGATGGCTATCCAGTTCTTCAAGATTTTCAATGGTAGTCTAACATTGATCAATTCACGATCTTAATTAAAACTCAACAATCTCCATAGCCCTATACTGATAGCGATTGAGTGTCCAAAAAATAAAAATTGTTTAATACAAACATAAGAAGCCGTTTTAAGTTTGATATTGACAACTATAATGCAAGTTAAACAATAGAATTTAGTCATCACTAAAAGACTAGATAAGTGTGAAATTGGTCAGTGATCAATCAGATATACAAGCTCTGTCGTAGAGAAGGTCAGTTATGGCCTAAATAGCTACAAGTAAGTTCTCAGAGTGTAAAATTAGACGACGTGAATTTGAGTCTCTCTCAGAGTATGAGTCCCCTCCGCAAACAAATTATCAGGACACTTTGCTAGCATGTATCAACCAACACGTAAATTGGGTCAAAGGCTTCATGTTAACCACCTCCATCCACCTACATAATTCAACATACATTTCTCAGTTCAGCCGATTGTCAACGACGCTTAATAACGAGAAAACACTTTAATAATTAACTTACTCGTTCATTCTGGTAGGCGGTTACAGCGATGAACTCAGTTTCATCGAAGATAAATGTAACAAAATTGGACATATTCATTTTATTTAGATGATCTGCACGAACAATATGAAATCTTGGTATATATTTATGCATTGAATTGAGTACAGCTTGCTGAAATATAAAATTTAAAACAATGTATCAATATCTCTTCATTATTTAGAAAATATTTTCATATATTTCATTTCTTTTATAACGGATATGAATTTATGTATGAAGTTAGATATGTAAATCACTGGATGCCAACTTAGCGGTCTAGAGGTTGGGCGTTTCGATAAGAGACTGAAGGTCCTGGATTCGACTTTTGAATGCAGGATCGTGAATAGGCATTACTGAGGAGTCCCGGAATAGGGCGGAACTCTCGGTTTCTCATGATGATATGGTTAAGATCAATTCGTGATGTAAGCTTTCATTTAAATCAATTTGTTATGGGTCATTAAAATGCATGTTGTACATTTAAACATTGAAAATTACAAGAACACTTGAGCATCTTGTTTTTAAGTTATCAGTTTAGTGCGAAAGGTAAGTCTTTATCAGGTTATAATTAATATTTAATGAGAGTGTCGCTTTACCTTGAAATTATAAATAAGTGCCGTGGTTGACGTTCAAATAACAGACTTATGAATATATTGATTGTAGGGAAAAGTCAGTCGTAATTGGCTACTAACAATGTTTGTGGTGTAAGCAAAATCTAGAAAAAAGAAAACGTCCACACATTTATTCAATTTGTCGGTTTCATTCTCTCTCCACTCTCTCTGTTTCCGTAATTCAAGTTTGATATTTCAAGATCATCTTGAATACATCAGGGATCTTTTTTAAATTCATCTTTCTGAAACTAAATACAGGTTCAGTGGTCTAAAGATTAAGAACCTGAGTGTCTTGAATTTTATCCCCGGTTAAACTCATGGAGATGTACTGCTTTGAAGTCACATGCTGAAACGTAACAACTGTTCATTACTTTCTGTACTTCAATGGTCACCTAACTAGAGTTATTGCGTGATACTATGTTTAAAATTAAAAATTATCACAAATCCGTACACTAATATAGAAATGTCAGTTTTAAAACGCTAAAATGCTTCAGCTCTACAACTTAAAGAAATACAGAGAAAAAATCAGAGTTGAATAGCACATAATTGGATCATATCACAGTGCTAACCTTAGTACTCGGATGCAAGTATATATAGCTGACTATTTTTAAATAAGTTGAAATGCAAGATATGAACTCCACTATTAGCTACTATCCAAAATATAATTATAGCTTTGTTCTTGGAAGTCATATGTGGTGTATACTACTTAGGTTGACAGGTATAAGTAGTATGTAAAAGCGATCGAAAGTGGAATGCCTGCCAGCAGAAGACTGAGAAGATTCAATGGAAGAGAACAGAAATGTTAACATAGAGTAATTGTAATAACAACAGAAATGAAAGAATCATGAAGTATGTAAAGGAAAACTGAAGGAAGATGTGCAAATAACTTATTGGATTTATGATTGTCAATGTTTTATGACAGCGCTCGGTAATTATGAATTAAAAAATAGATTGGTTTTCCCCACCTGAGTTTACGATCACTACACAAATACCTAACAAAATAAATCTTCGGGGACAAGACCATTATTTCTGGACTAACTAATCAGATATAAGATTACATGCCTTCGATTTTGGCGTGAAATTCATTCATCCATTTGGCTAAATAGCGTTTTGGCATTTTAGCTTATGTCAGTTCGTGATAAAAACCCTAAATCTAATTTCTAACCTTAACCATAAGCTGTAAATCATAATCATAATTCCACACACTGGTTTATGGCCCTTATTTAACCCTAGTAAGTAGTTGAAAATCCTCAAGGTCACGTTAGTGTCGTCCATAAACTATAGTCTCATCCAAAGCAGACTCAGGAAAGGCACTAGTTGTGATTACAAAAGCCAAGATAATAATAATAATAAAATAACCATAACTTACAAAAGATTGTCTTTCAGCTACATTATTAGTTAATTTTAATTTATGAAATGAAATTGGTTTATGCATCCATTCTTCACCGGTTGTTGGAGAATCTGGATGAATGTATGGTTTACGACATGGTTCTGGATCAGCTTTACCTGCAATTGTCCATTTACCATTTTGAAATTTATATCGATGTTCATCACGTGATACAATATCTAATAACATAATATATTTTGCATTTCTATCTAACCCTGTAACACGTACTTTGAATGATGGAAACATTCGACTGAATATAAAAGAAACAAAACAAAATGTTAACCATAAGAAATACTTTTTTAAAATGAACATTTATGTAAGCGAAATATTCAGTTAGGGAAAATGTGCAAATAATGTACTTAATGTAAAGTTATCGTATTTTATAAAAACACTGTAATTTCACATAAAAGAATAAATTGATTATCCTCACCAAGTCTTTGTTCATTATAGCGTAGGTGATATTTTAATTTAATAGTTGAATTCATGAGTCGATTGAAGCTAGATCACCATGGAAAACCTGGAAGCACTAGAAGACCGTTTCGTCCTACTGCCGGACTCCTCAGCAGTACACATCCACGATCCCGCCTTGCGAGACTCGAAACCAGGACCTATCGGTCTCACCAGCGAGCGCCTAACCTCTGCACCACTGAGCAGGCCGGCATTCAACGGTGTTAATGTCTAACTTCAAATAATCCACGAAATTGACCGGCACATCACCATTGTCTTCAGTGAGTTACTATCTCACAACTGACCCGATTGAACTCCACTGGTCACTGCTTCTCACCAGAACCCCGGGAAATACCTCTTGCGCACTGCTGAGAAGTCCCATACTATGACGAAACAGCCGTCCAGTGCTTCCAGGTTTTCCATGGTAGTCTAGCTTCAATTGACTCGTGAATTCAACTATTAAATTGCCATAATATCTACAAAATACCTTTCTCTGATATTTTAATGTTGGACCATAAGAAATCTAGATGATCTTATTAAATTTTTTCCTATTTTCTACATTCTTTCTTATTGAATTAAACCTACACGTCAGATCAAGTGTAGATACTTTACTATGCATAATTTTTATTACTACATGTATTCAATGAATGTGGCTTCGAAAAGAATTGGTCATTCATTCATTTACAAAACAGTTCTTTTTTATTTTAAATTATATGATATTACGACTATAATTTATGGACGAACCAATCAGGTATAAGATAAGAGGTCTCGGATTTTGGCGCGAAATTCATCCATTTGGATAAATAGAGTTATGGCATTATAGCTAACGTCAGTTCTTGATGAAAACCTTAAATCTAATTCTTAACCGTAATCATCAACTGTAAATCATCATTCGAACTCTTCACACTAATTCATAACTCTCATTCGGTCTTGATTATTAGGTGAACACTCTCAAGGCCAGTTTAGCGTCACTCAAGGTCGTCTATACATTATAGTTTGTGTTTTTCTCATTATTGATTTTAGGAATTGGAATCGATCAGTTTCGATTGGCATGTATATATTCTAGCACTATTTGGTTCAACAGGTAATCAGATAATACACTGGGCCTTTAAAGTGACGAGACCTGAGTCTGAATCTCAGTATGAACATTAACATTGGGATGTAAGTATATCCAATTGACAAGTTTAAATAAGATAAAATAAACATCATGCATTTCACTACTAGTCACTATAGAATTTAAATAATGCATAGAAATAATTCATTCTACATTATCTCGTGTTTTGTTTTCAATGATTAACTAAGATATTAGTTCTGTAATCAAGAACCATGTTGCCAAAGATTTGAATCACACAGTTTAATCATAAATGTGAATGGCAGCCATAAAATAGAATGTTCAAATAATTCTTTAATTCATATCAGAAAGATTTTTGTGGATATTATAGTAATTTCAATAGATGAGATCATGAGTCAATTGAAGCTAGACCATCATGGAAAACCTGGAAGCATTGGATAACCGTTTTGATGGTGGTTTAGCTTCAATTAACTCATGATCTCATTCATTGAAATTCTCTAATTATTTAAAATATACATTTTTATTTACAACATTTAATCAACATATAAAAATTATTCATTTAGTTCATAAACTGAACGATATTAGATTATCATGATCTCAATAAAATCCAACAATTTCCAGAATCATTTACTGAAAATTATTTAGTTTAAACTTGTAAAAGTTTGTTTTAAATTAAGAAATAGATTTCATAATAACACTGACTTCATTTAATAAATCATACGAACACTAGGTAACATTAAAATGCATTCTTATCTATCAGTGTCTGAAATTGTACTCTCTCTCTCTCGCTCTCTGGTATGTAATGAAGGATAGAAACTATTATAAAGTTTCAAACTAGACAATTGGTACCATACTCTCTCATTTTCACTGGTGTATTCACCAGTTGAAAGTCAATCTGTCATAAACTCTAGGTTAAAATCTGACCATATAATCATACCTATAATCTTATGTCTATTTCACAGAAATATTTCACGAGTATTTTAAATTTATATCGCTAATGGATCAATGTTAGACAACCAATGGAAATCTAGAAGTACTGGGAGGTTAGTTCGTCCTAGTATGCGACTCCTCAGCAGTGCAGGTCCACGATCTCGCACATGAGACTTGAACTCGGGACCTTCGGTCTAGCTCGCGAACGCCTAATCTCTAGTGAATGGCTTTATGATCAATTTCCTGGAGTTGTAGTGAAGAACCATGACCAATGGAATTCAACCTTGTCTGTTTGGAAGCAATTAACTGCTGATGACAATGGTAGACGGTCACACAATATCATGCATTGGTTGAAGTTAGACATTAACACTGTTTAATAACGGTTCAGTGGTCTAGAGTTTAAGTGTTCGCGCGCGAGACTAAATGTCCTAAGTTCGATGTGTATTGCTGAGAAGTCACATACTAGGACAAAATGGCCGATCAATGCTTTTATGTTTTCAATGGTCATCTAACACCGATTCAATTTATAGTCAACAGTCTCCATTACTCTATACTGATAAATATTTTAAACAATATCTGATTTATCAGATGGGTTTTTGTGGAGATTTTAGTGATTTCAATAGTTGAAATCATGAGTCAATTGAAGTTGACCACTATGGAAAACCTGGAAGCACTAGGTGGCCATTTTGTCCTAGTATTGGACTCCTCAGCAGTGCACATCCACAATCTCGCCCCCCCCGCGAGATTCGAACCCAGGACCTATTAGTCTCGCGCGAGAGCACTTAACTATTAGACCATTCAGCTGGCATCCAACTGTGTTAATATTTGATTTACATAATATAATAATAACTATCATTCAGACAAGTTTATGATTTATGAATAAAGTTCATAAGATAGTTGGTCATTGATATTTTGTAAGTGATAAAAAAAAATTTTATAACACGTGGTAGACAGAATAAATTAATGTACAAAACTAATCTATATACAAACTGGGATAAGTGGCACTTTTTATTTGTAAAATGAAACTTTATCTACACTTCTCATTCTTGTTTGTCTGAAAATTAAAAAAAAAAAATTCACTTGTAACTTATCATTCTATAATCAAACTATATTACTTGTATTTTCATATAAACATGTATAGGCATCATAGCAACTAATTCTTCTATGTATATAACACATGTAATAGAGGAATTCAATAAAAATGACAAAACAAACACAGATCATAAATTATTATTATCATCATTTATCTTCTATTCAATGTGTATATTATTCCTATGTATATACATAGTTAACTATATAGTATTGCATATTTATTGTAATGTTGTATTACTAATAATAACAAAACATTGATAACATGGTAACATGAAAAGAAATGTGATGATATTCATATAACATGTATTAGAATTCAAGTTCTCTCTATATATGTATAAATGATTCTTTGTACTTTTCAAGATTTATTTACATTATCATAAAAGTAAGCAATAAACCAAATTATTCATTATATTCTATATGTTGATATACATGTGTTTATAATCATAATCATATTACATTTATTACATACTTACACTTAAAACATATATACATATATTGTTGTTATCATCTTGGTAAATAAACCATAGCAACTATTATTTATTATAAAGTATTATACACTTTTGATATGATCTATACAATAATTTGAAGGGGAAACAAAATGCCTGTGGCATTTTTCAATGTGTTGATCAATGTTGAATTTTTTCACATGTATTACTTTTTCACTATAATACAAGAGAATGACCAGTAATTGACAATTATTATCATTGATTTATTTATATATCATCAAAAAATTCGGGAGGTGGTGGTGAATAAGTTGTGTAGATTGACAAGAATATATCTTTCCGGTTTTATTTGATAATAAGAAATGTGTAAAACACATAGCAATAAACGATACATTCAACTTCACTGTGTATATGTGTTTTCAACTTATTGCTAATGTTAGAGTTGTCAATACAAACACATACACACACACAGTAGGAGCCAGTTTGAAATCGAACTAACCGTTATTATGAATTGATAAATGATTTTATTAAAATAATGAACCGATCTTAATTTGATAACTATTGAATACATGGAAGCAATAGACACTTGTTTCGTTCTAGTTTAAGATTTTTGAGCAGTTCATATCCTTAACTCTGCAACTGAGGATTGAACACAAGATGTTCGGGTTCAAACTTCGTAGTTTTGAGGTTAAACATTTACGCAAGGAATTGAAGTGCTTGAATACCATCCATAAGCTATTTATCCTAAAACAAACTTTAATCAGGTTGTGATATATTTTATAAATAAAATAATCAAACAGCAGCTCTTAGATTTTTACCCATTTATCATTTGCTTATCCATGTATCTGTAAAGGGCTTTGATGTTGTGGTTTACATTAGTTTGTGTTAATTCAAAGGACCCTGAACCCCGAATCATAACCCTAATCAAGAACATTGTGAAGTCCATTAAAAATCTTTTTGATTCCTTATAAGGTTTTAAGGAGATGAATAGGCTATAATCATGAAGACGAATTATGTCTCTTTTTTTAAAAAATTACATGCATATGAACCTATAGGAGACTTTAATGAATTCATTAAATAAGTAGAATCTGTGTATATTTCTGCAGTTTTATACTCAATAACCATTGATAATTTTAACAAAAAAACCAATAAAAGAAAGGCTTGAATGAAAATTTTAGTATTCAAAAACCAAAATCTCGTGAATAGCAATTCTTTATTAAAATGAGATCAATGATACCTGGTGTTTTATTTAACTCTAATAAACTA